CAACGCGGCCCTAATTTATGTCTCACTCTTAGGCAGCTTGAAACAGCAGTGGTCCATTCATAACTGTCCATGTATCAATGAGCACCTCCAAGTCTGCCACATGGGACAGTTGTGCATGTGCCACTTGTGGCACAAACTAGTGCACACATGTTAAGGCCACCTTGTGGAGGTCTCCAAACTCTCTTTAGTGCTATGATCTAGTTAAGATTTGTTGTAACAATGCAAGCAATTACACTATTGTCAAAGCCATGTTATACAGCAAAAGCACTTGGATGCTTCTCCTACGCATCTTTTTGAACGAGTTCTAAAAGAATAGCATGCTACAATGAATAAATTGCAAATAATTTGCATAGGAAAAACGTGTCTTCAGCAGTACAGTACTTCTCGCTAATTTTATCATGATCTTCTCCATTGTCCACATTATTTTCCACTTTTATCTTCCTTCCATATCCTCACTTGACCACTGAATGGCATCATCAGTTATCTCATGAATTTCCTACAATTCGGAATCTACGACGTGCTCTTCCTGCTCACTGAACACCCACACATGAGCCTTTTTACATTTCTTCTTCTTTACTTCCAATTCCGCCTTTGCCATTTGTTTCTGCCTTCTCCACAATTCTATGGGTGATCAACTTACACACCCCTGACTTTTGACTCCATTGCCTTCTATTTCTCTGGGCTCTTGCTCTGTCAATCACTCCCCAATTTGTGGTTTTCTATTCTCTTACCAGTGAATCATATCATATCTGAGATCCACCTCTTGTCTCTCTTTCTCTTTGTTCTTTGTCTCTGCTTCCTCACCTCTCACTCAGTGTGCTCAAAGCCTCTCATACTCTACTGTACTCAACTCCTGGGTGGCACCAGTGATTTCTCTACCACTGATGCAGTATCTCCTTTTGATCTTCATCCTCCTATCCCTAAGTTATTGGACATTTCTGGCCAAGTTCTTGTTTGCCATTTTTCTTCTAAAGCCTAAGACAAAAAAACTATGTATTCACTTTATCTTTCCCCCATGAATTCACCTTTGAATTTTCTTCTTTCCATTTACTCATTATGTAAAAGTATGCCACAGCATTTCATGCTAGAATCACTATGTTTGTTTGTATGTATGTGTGTATATATGTATGTGTATCTTATATTGCTTCTGGATAGATAATTCTCAATATTTAGCTTTTATGTCCTTCCCAAAACCCTAGAACTATATATGCAACTATCCACTTGATGCATAGCTTCTTGATTTATTTATTTTATTGTACACACAAACATAATGAATGCATATATATATAATTTCTATATAATTATTTATTAAACTCATAT